AAAATTTATTTTCTACTTTTTAGTCCACAAGAAAAACGTGGTTTTTTAAAAAGTTTTTTTTAAGCATTTTATTTTCTCTGTTTAGTCCGTTGCTACACATGAAAAACGTGGTTTTTAAAAAGTTTTTATATAGTTTATTTTCTACTTTATCTAATGACTTGATTAAGTATGACTTGACTAAGTGTTTATAAATACACTGACTAAAAATCTTGAGCGACCGATACGCTTTAAACAGAGAAAGGGCGTAATTTAATTAAGCCTACATGCCGTGACCAGGATTCGAACCTGGGTTGTCGCGGCCACAACGCGAAGTACTAACCACTATACGATCACGGCCAGCGCGCTCACATCGATTGGGGCCGAAGTAACTGTGTCAATAGGCCTCCAGTCTTGTCGGTATGTTTAGAAATCATGTCCTCGATTTTATGGTCCTTTGGGCGTAATTTAATTAAGCTAATTTAGGTCTCTTATTGCTAGTTTTTATGAATGCATCTGAAATTGTTAGGCGAAAATAGCCTGCATTCCAAATTTCAGATCTCTAGAGCAATCAGAAGTGGGCTAATTTTCGATGTCAATTTTAACAACAAACATCCAAAGAAACAAACAAACAAACGCGAAGCTGAGTTAAGAAAAACGTGTTAATAGGAGAAAAGGCTGTGACATTTTGGTGTTAGAAGTGGGCGGTGCTCCGCACCGTAAAGGAAATAATTAGAATTAGATCTAGATTTGGTATTGTTGACATATGACATTTTAGTAACTGAATAACTTTTCTTGGAATATGAAGATGGAGGACTATGCCAAATTCATTGAGTTGGCTGATTCTTTAGGGTACACGGGGGCAGAAAATGCTAAATGGATTGAAAAGAAGATAGCTGATGCAATTGAAAGGGAAGACAGAACTTTAGAGAGGGAATTAGCTAAAGCTAAAATAAATGCTGAGAAGGAAAAAGTTAAAATATATAGGCTGATAAGGAACTAGATCTAGCTAAAATGGAGGCTGAGAAGGAAAAGTTAAAATAGATGTCGAAGACAAAGAAAAACAGAGACAATTAGAAGATAGAGAAAAACAGAGGCAACATGAATTAGAATTAGCTAAAGTTAAAAGTAACCAATCTCAAGACAGCAATGTTAACAAAACGGACAATTGGAAGCCTAAATTCAGAGCATTTAAACCACAGGAAGAAAGTGTGGAAACTTACTTAATACTTTTTTAGCAAACATGTAAGAGCTTTAATTATTCATCTGCTGGGGAAGGCACAGGCTTTATTAACTAATTTTACAGAGAGACCATTGCCATAATAGCAAGTTTGTCTGAGACTGAAAAAGAAGACTATAACCTAGTAAAAGAAAGATTGATGAAACATTTTGGAAAGACAGAAGACTATTACAGGAAGACTATACGAGATGCTAGAATTAACAACACTGGTGACATAAACCAGATCATTTTTGATATTCGCAAACACATGAATAAAAGGCTAGAATTGGCAGAAATAGATTTAAAGAATCCTGAGGCAATTATTGAACTTAACTTGATAGATCATGTTTTAAATAATGCAACAGATAATTTATTCATTTTTTTGAGTGACAGAAAAGTTAGGACAGAGAAACAATTAATAGAGCACCTTAATATTTATAAGGATGCTCATCCAGGGGCTATTTTGGACAAAGAGAGCAGGGAGATATTCCAGCAGCAGTCTACAGTAGAAACTTTGGCAGGGATCAAAGAAGGTATGGCGACAACAATAGAGATAGAAGTAACAGTGCACCTACCAGATGGAAACCAGACAGATACAAATATAGCAGAAGCATAGAGTGTTACCACTGTGGGAAAACAGGCCATGTAAAGTCTGAGTGTTTCAGCTTACAAAATAGAGATACATATCTCAGCAATAATGACAGAGGAGGTTATGCACCTAATAATAATTACAGAAATCAACGTAATTATTACAGACAAAGACAGTATATTGGACAAAGTAGAAATGAATTCCACAATCAAAGTAGACGGCAAAGAATTGGACCAGACAACAGGGGAGAAAACAGAAATAGTAGAAATAACAATAAAGAGACATCAGCAGGGGTAGAAGGGTCAGAGACAGTGGCATCTGTTACACAAAGCAATACAACATGGCGCGAACAACATGGCGGATGTTTTGGGAGTGAAGGCGATGCTTTTATGAACCAATAAAATTATTGAAATTACAGGAACAAAGGTTGATTTTTGTTTTGAGTGTGTGCCATTAAATAAATAGGAGAAAAGGCTGTGACAAAAGGTTTTACACTTATTTAAATTTTAATACATGAAGGTTAACATAGAGCAGGGGTCTCCAAACTACGGCCCGCGGGCCGGATGCGGCCCGCGAGGTCATTTTATCCGGCCCGCGACGATCTTTTTGTCAACTGAATAAATGTTTGTTGGAGGTGGCTGAGGAGCTTTGCACATAAAATTCAAAACTATTTGAAAATATAACATTGTGTGCAAATACAATTACTCGCCGTGTTGCAGACATTGGTGAAAACATTGCGACTCAAATAGCGAAAAATTAAAGCGAATTTCGCCATTTTTCAATTGCAATTGATGAGTCGCTGGGCAGCAGTTCCACTTCTCAACTTCTTGTGTTCATAAGAGGTGTGGATAAAGATATGAACATAACACAAGAGCTGGCTTCCCTACTTATAATGTTGACACTGCTACCGAAGAGGATATCTAACCATAGACAGTTCAGGGACAAACACAAAATCGCAAGTTTTACCATATTTCACATCAGTAAGATTGCTAATTTTGCGAGAAAATTCTGAGCAGAGAAAAGAAATAGGTGACTTCCTGATAGTAAAGGCAAGTCACAGCCATTATTGTCTGATGAAAGGTGGGTATAGAAATTGGCCTCTGCTGCAGAAATAACTAGTCATTTAAATTTTCTGAACCTAAAACGGCAAGAGAGTGAAATCTAGTTTCTGATCTATACGACTGAAGCAACCACTGAGTTCCCCACGTCATTTACATACGAGATAATTAAAGACCTCCAGCTGCAGTTTCAGAAGCGATTTTCTGACTTGGATTCAAAGGCAGAAGATAGGAGACTGTTTCAAAGCCCATTTCAAGCAAATGTGGCCAGTTGCAAAGATGAACTGCAGCTGGAGGTCATTGAATTGCAAGAAAATGACTTCCTTAGAGACACGTTCAAAGAAGGGCGGATAGGTTTTTGTACGTTTTGGCACAAGGAAGACTTTCTTAACATTAAAACTTTTGCATCAAAGTACCTTTAAAATTTTCGAACTACACGCTGTGTGAACAAACATTTTCAAGAATGAAATTCGTGAAGAACAATTTGAGAACAAACGCGGACCTCGGGTGGGGGTGGAAACTTGAAACTTGTATATATTTCTATATAAATTATATTTCGATGGGGGGGGGGGGGGGGCGGTATACGTTCTTCGGGGGGGGGGGGGTGGCGCCACCACCCTGAAGAGATGCCTTAAAGAAACTCTGGCCCCCGAACTGATATTTGATAGTTAATGCGGCCCTCGGGCTGAAAAGTTTGGAGACCCCTGACATAGAGTAATAAATAAAAGAACAAAGTTAGATTAGCCTGTAATGGCGACACTTCACCAGGGCGGCGTGGGCACCAGTCGCAGAATTAGAAAAAAAGGGCCACCCCGTATAAACCCCCCATTATATATATATATATATATATATATATATATATATATATATATATATATATATATATATATATATATATATATATATATATATATATATATATATATATATATATATATATATATATATACTCATTACTGGATTGTTCGGGTTTTGAAAAAAAAATGTTTTTTTTTTAAAAATTAAACCAAATTACTACATCATATCATGTGTTTTGAGAAAATCATAATTTTTAATTTGCGCTATAGGTCCTCTTTATAATTAGTCGGCCAAATGAATATAAATATGAACGCTTTGTAGAAGTATTGGTGTCTCGTGTTATGATTATTTACCGGCTGTGGGCCCCTAAATGGCATGGGCCTCCCGCTTTGCGGGGTCTGGCGGCACTGTAGTTCCACCCCTGGTGGGCATACTAGCTCACAGACGGACCTCTGTAGCGTCTCTTTAGCCCAAGCTCGTTGGCTGTAAAATACATTTGACAAACTAAACTTCCTAACATCTTTGTGATATACACATTCATTCAGACTTCAGACACATACAATTTTACTATTTTGACAAAGATAATGTATTTACATTAGCCTGACATAGGGCCTACTATAAATATTACTAAAATATTATTTTCAATCATACATTGGTTTATACCCCTTTCATACTTATTTATTAATTTATAACAGTGCAGTTAATAAAAGTAAGTGTCAGGTACCTTCAAATGAAGCCACATAATCCTCTACACACGTTGCGAAAACTTAAGTTAATTTCTGTGTAGATAAAAAGTGCCTTAGCACCAACATAAACGAGTACATCCGAAGGGGGGGGGGGGGCGGGGAGGGAAGGTAGAGTGACCGGACTGTGGCGTCCCTATCCTACAGGTCACATGACTCAGGCTCCACCCTCGTGACCGCAGTCTGAGGTCGAGGCCCGGTCAGCTTACAATACCGCTGGACTCAGGTCCAGGTGTGTATCGTTACCTGTGGGGTAGCAAGGTGGGGGGTGAAGTGGAGACACCATGATAGATATTTAGAATCTATCATAACATATATGACAAGTTCGTTCCCAGGCATCCAATCATAGGGAAATATGCGTTTAAACAGTAGCTATTAACATTGGTGTAAGACAACGACCGTGAAGCGTTCTGATCTGAATATTATCAGTTGCATGGGATCTGTTATTTGCGCTTGAGTAGTTTGCCTTTTTAGACTCAAATATTCGACGTATTTATCGATCTCATTCGTTAACAACTTTTTCTTGAATTACATGTATTTGATAAAGAATTCGATACAATATATTACACATATGTAACTACAACCATTTTAAAAATTGTTGTTGTTTTTATCTACAGAGACCAAGCTATGATGATTTACAGGAATTTGTTTCTGATGTTATGTTAGAGTTTTCTAACATGAGAGACTTTGACGCGTTACATTTCTTCATATGTCAGAGGTGTTTGAAGACAATTTACTCTACTCTAAATGCTGAAGATAAACTGAAGTTTTTCACACTACTCTTAGATCTTAACTATGCGGGTAATTTAGTTTTACAGCTTGAATTTTTAATTTAGTAAAAGCTGTGTAACAAGACTGACAAAAGGAACAGCCGGATGTTTAGGACCCTCACTACAACCTTGCAGAAGTTACTAGCATGTTTCTACTTGTATGTTAAGTCAATGACTGTGTTGCTACTTGTATGTTAAGTCACTGACTGTGTTGCTACTTATATGTTAAGTCACTGACTGTTGCTACTTGTATGTAAAGTCACTGACTGTTGCTACTTGTATGTTAATTAAGTTAATTAAGTTACTATGTTGAAGATGGAATATTGTGTGAAAAACATATAGCACTGGACAGATTCCGGTTTATTTGACTTTGTAAAATAACTAATGTTTTATTGATGACAGCAAATCTGAATTTCAAATTTATCCCTTTTATATGCAACATTTATGATGTAACGTTTCATCATCAAAATGGCCCCGACGAAATAGCCCCGTATAGCCCCGTATAGCCGATCCGTCAAAACGCCAGTGAGAAATGGACCCTGTTGGGTTCTTCTGTCTAGGGGGTATATATAGCAACAGACAAATACAACGTATACAACAGTAGATAACATTAACCTTCTATAAATATAATAATAATAATAAGATATTATATATATATATATATATATATATATATAGATATATATATACATATATATATACAGTAATAAATAATAAAAGATCAAATGGGGTGTACAACATAAATAACAATACTCAACACCACGTTCCACGTCCACAGCCACACTACAACTAACAGCTTCACACACTGACACACGCTCTGACAGCTGTCACCTGACACACCTGACGTGAACACCTCTCGCTCCATGTAACCACACTCAACCAAGGGCTACAACCATACTAAAAGGGGGGGTTACCTGTCGTTCAAGCACACAACACTTACACACAAGCAAGGGACATGTAAGGGACGTAACAGAACCCGTCAATTAGACCCACGACAAATAGGCTTCTGTCATCAGGACTCCTGACAAAATGTCCCGTGTCAATATGGTTCCTGTCTAGACAGAAATTCTCAAACCCTAACCCAAGTATCTGACCTCGCTTTTAAGCATCATTTATTATCTGGCTTAAATAAAACATTTTCAAAATGTTTAAAGTAGTCGCATAGCAGTTATGAGCTAAATTAATGTATGAATGTGTGTTGGTTCATGAAGTAGTTTTACATTCAGGCATTTATAAGTGGCCATATGACATATTTGACTGGAACCGAAACTCAAACATATTTGTAAACAGACAAATATCCCTATTTCAATCTCTATCCCTACAATAACACCTATAATTACACTAGTACTTCGTTCAGAGGCATACACTCCACTGAAAACCAACATTAGAATTTATGGATTATAACATAATAAATAATTTTAGCTCAATGGTTAAACGATCAAAATCAGAGTAAGAAACTAATAAAAGTAAAAGAAAAAATGAAGCACTTTCTTGATACATTGTCGTTACAGATATTACATTGAGATGCTTAAAAGATGAAAATCTTCTGGATACAACAGCACCTGGTTTTACTTTGTCTTTAATTCGAGACATGCTGACGCTGTTGAAAAAGGGTAGTAATGAAAGTACAGAGTTTGCTTTGGTAATTATTGCACGATTAGTTTTTTTTTTTTAATGTATATTAAACAACAGAGTTACATAGTTAAAAAATAATTTTTTAATGTTAATTGGATAAAACAAAAAGAAAGTAGTTTTTTAGAAGTTTATTTAATATTTAATTGTAGATTTTGGCCGAGATGGACGCTGTAAAGATATTTACAGATTTCCTCATCTCTCATAAAAACGTGCAGGTATAGTAATTTATTGATAGCATTTTTTAAATACGTACTTAGTAATTTGCTTTTATTTCTATTCATAACATACCTAATTATTTCTTTTACATTTTTTTGCTTTTATTGATGAATGAAAGTAAGTCAAATACCTAAGTTTCACAAAAAAATTTAATTACATACATCCTTATTTTTTATTACCTAATATTTTCAGATTAATGGTTATTTATTATTTTACGTCTATTGTATAAAGATTGCCTTAAGTACACATGTTATTTATTTGCCGAGATCAGAGCATAGATTTACTTTAAGACAACTCTTTATATTCTTGTTTAGCTTGTTCTTGTCAAAACCTAGTTTAACTAAAGAGAGAGCAGTCAGATGTTTAATAAGTGTGTGTCTTGCTATATCATTTACATCTGTATATTTTATCGAACGCTGTAGTTAACCTCAATAAGGTTACTACAACGTGCACACATGCCTAGATGACCTATATATGAAACACATCTGCAACCCTCGCTCCAAAATCGGATTCCACTAATTTTTAGCTTTCTTGTCAATAGGAATGAATTGTGTTTTTTTTTTGTTGTTGTCGTTTTCCAAAATTGCATAAAATATTAGTTAGATTGTCATTTCGTTGAATTATAATTTTACTGATAATGTACTGATGATGCTTAGCGTTGTACCTTCCTCTTCGTTTATTTCCCCGACAACAATTTGGTGTTATAATTGATTTATATTGTCAAAGGACTAAATGATGGTCTGCTGACTTGATATACATTAACATCTCTTCAAACCATTAGTCGTGATGGCAAAAAATTAAACGAATGTCAATATTTAAAATTACAGAACTCCCAATCTAATTGGATCATTAGTGGAGTTGTCAACATTTTATTTAACATTGCCAGAAGGAAGGAAGCGAAGAAATTTTTCTCAGTAAGCAACCCATACAATGTAAGTAAATAACAAAACACACTTTTTCAAACGTGGACTAGTATAATCGTTGACTGAATCCGGGGCTCCACCAGTAGAGCACGGCACCTAGAGTTTCCCAACGGTCCCCTGTATATCAGGCGTCCTCTCATCCTTCTAATTTATTTTCTTCTGCTAGCTTACAGGACGTTCATTAGGCCAACCGGCTCTCTGATTGGTACCTGATTCTAACCTGAGTTAGAGCTCTCCTCACTTATACTATTTTGCTACCTTACTAAACACGTGCTCGTCACTTCCACCTTTCAAACAGCTAGTGTACCTTGTGTATTTATATTTTTTTTACTAATTGTTGAATAAAATTTAACTTACATTTGAAAGTACTACATATTTTAGTTTTAAATACTACAACAGACTACGTTTATCCTTTCAAATTAAGATCCCTTTATAAAATCTAATGCATGTTAATGTTCACTAGGTAATTAAAAGCATGGAGTTTAAAGAAGAACACATATCAATGATTGCAACACTTCTGCTAGTGCTTATAGAAGACGATTCTACCACAGACACGGAGGCAGAAAGTAATGATTTAAACTGTTTTGTGTAACATGTCAAATACTATTTAACTAAATGGATTGTATGGAATTTGCTTAACTATTACACATGGTGTAAAAAATAGGCTCATGATATAATGTGTACACTTATCTGTCTTGAAGTTTTTATTCTTATCATTAAATTAACACCAACGTTGATTATAAATAGCAATTAGGTTATAAACAGACATACTTGTATAAATTAAGTTTTTGACTTCGACAGGAAGTTTTTGTATCTTATTACACACATTCATTTTCCCCAGATAAAACTAATTTATGAAAAAAAATTATGTCAATAAAAGTCAATACAACATAGTAATATATACTCAAGGCATTATCACTTTCGAAATGAACAATTAACCAGCAAGCGTAAAAACAAGCAAAAAATTAAATTAAACATAAAATAAACCGGGAGTGATCTCGATTATTATTATATAACACTACGGGGAATATCAACTCGGAATATAGGCATGATTTTTAATCCATTGTTAATTACTTTAACTTTTATTAATAGAATAGTATCTTATGGAAAAACAATTGCGAACCAATTGAATGGCAAACAATACGTGTATAATAGTGAAGACTAAAATTAATACTTTGAAAATTCATATGTGTTTTTTTAAGGAGTCGATAACAGCGTAAGTTTATTTGCGATTCCCACTAGTAGTGATTGAACGAGCATAACAAAAAATGAGGAGTTATTACTTACTACTCCCGGTCAACAGAAATTACTCAAATTTTGAAGGAAGATATAAACTTGGATGTTTTACTTACAAGTGAAATTATATTTATCCATCTCAAACAGTACTCAAGTTATAAGCTTTTGAAAAAATTGTACGTAAAATAAGTGCCACTTCTGGTTACTAGAAAGTTGATATAAAACCTATATATGAAATGTCATCCACCTAGCTGTAACGTTACTCAAGTTACCGTGTTTACAGACACACATACACTTATATACACCCAGACATATGGACAAGATTGAAAAATTATGTTTTTCCGACTCAGGGAGAGGCAAAACGTCGAGATTTGCACAAATCTCGATTTATTTCTTTGCACAATTACAAGACTTTCTCTATACTTCGTATACGAGAGAGTAAAAAAGCAATTCAGTGTATAGGATGTGGAATTACCCAGTGTGTGGAATTACTCCAGGTTACCCTACATCGGCGTTTTAATTAATATAAATACGTTATACTTAGAATTAAGAACGTGTCTTAATACCAACTTTACCTTAGTTATCTCTTCCGTAAGAATGTTATCTTTTTAAAATACTGCGCTTGTACAATGTGCGTATTAAATATGTTAAATCAGGAAAATCAAACCGTTCTTTGCAAGAAACTTTAATGCAATATGTTACAAAGAAAAAATGCTACATGGATATGTACGATCTGAGCTGCTTCAAGGGCTGGCTAAAATCTTAGAACAAAATGACGAGTTGAATGAGGTAATCGTAATTGTTTCTTTCTACTTTTAGCTTTGGCTGTTCAGTTGCTTCCACTGTATCCAGAACTAACAGAAGATATATCAGATGATGATAATCCTGATGACCTAATATTGATGACGCAATGTTTGAGAAGATTATGTAGGAATAAAGAGGGAAGTGAGAAAATCATCACAGACAAATACTTAAATGGCATATTAAAACATTTAATAAACAGCCATAATGAGGATCTTTCTGCTAACGTACATTCGATACTTTGGAGAGCAGGGCGTACAACAGGAATATTGCCATCTACAACAGGTTAATTATAATATCAGTTGTGTTTAGCTAGTATATTACTAATTTAATTAACATCATCTTATGATATTATAATGAATATTTATTAATTGTTAAGTGTCTAGGGTTTATTTGTGATAGACATTATATTTTAATATCTGTAGATATTGTGCTGTCTGATGAGTTCCCCAAGAGATTTGAAATTAAACCAATGTCGTTAGGTCAAGGAGGTTTTGGTAGCGTCCATCTTGTTGTCGATATAGACCAACCAGATGATGAAAGATTTGTTGCAAAGAAAACAATCGCAGGCCCAAAGAACCAAAAGAAGTTAATGGTACGTAGGGGCGATCATATGGTGACATGCGTTAGAAATTTGTTACGCTAAATTTTAAAATGACAAAGCAATAATGTTACATGTAAATATGTATCATTTTATCAAATAGTTAACTTTCTAATTTTACCAAATTTAATATTGGGAATTATTTATTGTACTAACGTATTTCTAACCACTTCTCTGATATACACCATATCTTGATCCTGTATATATCTGATCGCGTGCACATGTAATTTTACAAATGTACACATGTTCTGTTTCTATTTAATAGGAGGGCTTACAATCGGAGGCTTCAATTTTAATTAAACTGAAACACAAAAATATCGTCCAGTTTCATGGGTATCAAAGGAAAGAAAATGATATAATCTTATTTTTGGAGTACATAAAAATGGTAAAACATGATTTCTTTATTAATCCCCACTGTATTATTTGACACGCAAGAGTAAGAAAATTAAAACTGTATTGCAATATCATTTGAGTTTTGTTGAAAATGGTTGTGTTTTATCTCCAGGGCACCCTCTCCACGTTCATCAAACAACACACAAGACTCAATGAAGGTTTGACCAGACAGTTTACAATTCAAATACTGGAAGGCGTGAAGTACCTACATGAAAACAACATCTTGCATTTGGACATCAAAGGTATTTCAAAATAATTTACTTTTTTAATAGTGTAACTATTATAACTTACCTATTTTTAAGATAATTCTTTAAATTTTTAACAGGTACTAATATTCTAATGGTGGATGAATCAAGCATTAAACTTACTGACTTTGGCCTGTCAACAATCTATAACGAGGAAGAAGGTGTTGAAGCAGAAAGAGGCACAACTCGATATATGGCTCCTGAGATGATTAACTGCCCTGATGGGAGAATATTTAAAGATGGTTGTAGCTTGGACATTTGGTGAGAATGTTTTATTTAAAAAAATAATTAAATTGCGATAGGTTTTAGAATTAAACAAAAAAGCAATTCTAAAATAAAACATCAAAATGCATTATTTATATCACTAAGCTTTCAAAACAATAATTATTGTTGTAAGCCTAAGCTAAACGTATATTTAGTCCAAACAATATAATTTTCCTATATTCCATTTGTGTAATATATATTATTAATACATTTCAAAATTCGCCCAGGAGTGTGGGAAGTACAGTTGTAGAGATGATAACTGGATCACCACCAAACTCAACAACAACAAATTCAGCCAATGTAAATTTTAAAATCGCTATGCTGCAGAGACCAAAGTATGAGCTGTCAATCACAGCGTCAAAAAACCTGGGAGATTTTTTAGAAAAGACATTTACACCTGAGGCAGAACAAAGGCCATCAGCAGAAGATTTATTGAGAGAAGACCCTTTTATAACAGGCGGTTTATAAAGGTTGGCTCCATTGTACGATATGTGCTTATTACTACAAATACTAATTAACAATGTTTTTTTATAACAGTTTGGCCTGTTTGTGGGCATGTTAAAGTCGTAAAGATATTTTTAAAAATCTTGTGGTAATCTTTACACAAGATGAAAGTGTTTAATATTTATAGTAAATGCAAATGTGTTTGTCAAAATATCTATGTAAAATGTAAAACGAGAATTATTAATTTTCCAGATATGTCTTCTGTCTAGGGGCGTATCCACGTTTTCGTTGTAGGGGGAGCGAAAAGAGCAAAAAAAGGCGCCGAATTTTTAACACTTTCTATACACGTGTATTTTATATGTATATATATATATATATATATATATATATATATATATATATATATATATATATATATATATATATATATATATATATATATATATATATATATATATATATATATATATATATACTAGCTGTATGTCATTACTTCGCTATGATGTAAAATAAATTGAAAGTAGCACTCTGAAGAAATAAGAAAAAACACACAATGCAGGCCGACAAAACAAAAATTGTATCAATCTAAACAAAAAAAAAAACAATATACTCACACTACAACCAAAAACAATGAACATAATACAATCTGTTTTGTAATCCTTGTAAAAAAAAAATTCTTACATAATAATTCCTGGGATATTATTTAAGACAAGTGAAATAGGGGAAATAAGCACTCTCTTAATATAATTATGTTTATATCTACACATTTAATTGTAAATGTCAAAATAAATAAATAACTACTTTAGAATATAATGAAATTAATTGTTTAACACTATTCGTGTTTACAAAATGTTTTTGTCTATAATCAGAATTTAATATATCGTCATCATAAATGCTTAAGTATTACAGCATAATGAATTTTTTAAAAATCAGAGTTGGTATAAAACCACGCTTTTCGATATAGATCAAAAACACTCGGAATAACAGTCTACATTTCACTAAATATCGGTATTTTATTTCAGATCATATATTTTTAATTAACTACTGCTTCTTTGTGTTCTTTAAAGATAATTTTTAACATAGTGATAAATATGGGTTAGATCACTGTATTGATCACACACCTTTATACTGGTAATTGCAAAAACAATATTCACAGAGTTTTACGTTTAAAAAGCTAATTTTCTGACGGCATGGTACTTTGGTACATCATTACGCGTTTTTCTACATGTACTTAACAGATCAGTTCGGGGGTGGGTTGGGGGGGGGGAGATAACCAACTCAGAGTGAACGTAGCCTCGGTTTTTAGATGACTCTTCTAAACATACATATATATTACACAAATAAATATATTACACAATTATTTATTACAGAAATAGATTTAAATAAGTAGCAGTGGTATTATGACAATAATTTTTTTTACAGAGGGGTCTATGGGGGAGGGGGAGTTGTAACTGTTTCATATAATTTGTAATCGTAATCACTATAGCCCAAACTGTAAGAATACTACTACGTCATCGTGATGACGTTGTTGACCTTGTCAAAATTTCCCCACCACTACGCAGTTTGCTCATAAGTAAATTTAAATAGAGGTGCCACATCAGTTGTATTTGTTTCTGTATTGTAATTTTTTAAAAATTAATCACACGCTTTAAACTGTATATATAAAGTAATTATGTGTGAAGTTTTATGTATAACATTTTCTAATTCAATTATTCGTAAGCAAATACATTATACAGTTGCCTTAAACTTAACATCCCTCTTGCCAAGTGGTACTGCCCGTAGAGGTTTTTTAAACATTGCAATGCATCGTAATGGTAATTTTTAGAATGGCAAACGGATGCAGCTGTTAATACGTGTTGTAAACGTAGACGCTACTAGACTAGTACAATAATGCTAAATTGTATCAAATTTAAAAAAATATATATATATACATATCTATACATACCTATCTAATAATTTTTAGCGCTACTAAAAATAAAATAAAATAATGTGATGTTGTAATAACCTAAAATTAAAATGTACACACTCCAATTAATACACTATACATAAATCGTACATATTTAAAAAGAACTATGGCGTAAACATACATCAACGTGTGAAGTGGACATGACTGGCTAATCATTTTCATAATTAATAGTTACATAACATTACATAAGAATCAAATTGCAACAAATTACTAATATTTCGTGTGTACATTTATAATAATAAACAGTAAGAGTTACAATTTAAATTAACTGCTTTGAAAATTACAATTGATATATTGTACGATGTATTTATCACTAAACTAAATGTGCACACACTTAAAAAACATTAATGTTTGTGTTCTATATTTTCTAAAGCTACTATAATTTTCTTTTTTTATTGTCAGTGAAAAATCATCATTTTTGTCGTAGTCCTCATTGACAAATGCATCATTCTTCAGCAGCCAGTCAGCCGTTGGTCTGTGTTTAGCTTCTCTGTGTAAAACTTTGTCTAAAAATTCTCGTAAGTAAACTGATGAAGATGGAGGAAGTTGGTAATGTAGCGGCTCACTGCTAGCGTTTCTTACAATAGCCAGTGGTGTAGGAACTGAAGAGTTGGGTGGTTTTCCTGTCAACATCTCTATAACAGTGCAGCCAACGCTCCTAGAAAGATGTAAAACGTTAAGTATTTGCCTAGAAATGTTTGAAATATTTTGTCAAATGTATCATTTGTCCTGAGATATTTTGTCCTAATAAAATTTCGTCCTTGAAGTTAGGGTTATCTTTATATGATATGTCTGGGGTAATAAATCTATCATAGAACTGTATATATATATATATATATATATATATATATATATATATATATATATATATATATATATATATATATATATATATATATATATATATATACCAAATTATTTCTCTATTGAATGCACTATTTTTTTAAGGCAATCATATTTTTATGGACATCAATCTACGACTCATGACATAGGTTCATAAGGAATGATTGTTAAAATATTTCAAGTATGGTTAATAAATAGCCCACTTGTTATTGATAGTCATACTTTGATATAATTAGCACCAAATGTCTCCTAATGGTGGGTATCTTAGTAATACACGTGTCCTGGTGGTAGGGTGTACTAATATCATAAATGTAGCCTGTGTTATCTAGGGTGTCTGAAGAGTCAAATCTGCTACTCAGACAAATTTTTTGCACATTGGTTGTACAATTCTGACCCTCCTCTCTCCCCACTTGTCAGAAGGTGTTAGATTTCTACTTATTCAGATCATAGTTGTCAGTGTAGAAAGTATAGATACCCCCATCGTCATCCATGCATTTTGTTTTAAATTAAACGCAATCGATGAACACACTATAAAGTATCCTATATGAGTCTGTTATATTTTATTGTTGCCAATAATCCAACATCCTTACTATATATCAGATCTGCTGGTGTAGTATTTCATAACGTTGCCATCTGTGAAAACAACTTCTGGAGCCATGTATCTAACTGTTCCTTGATCTGTGGGTAGCCCTTTCCCATTGATAAATTCGGATATGCCAAAATCTGTTAATTTGATGTTCATATCGTCCACCATTAAGATGTTGCATCCTGAGAAAGAAAAAAACTCTTTAAAAAATGTGTTCCACCTTTTTATATATAAAAAAAAATCTGTTGTGAGTCTGCTATCAATTTATTGGGCTTTGTAAATGTATATAAAAATGAAAATACAAAAGCACATTTCAATAATTTATTTTAAAATAAATAAAACTGAATCACACGTTTTTTTTGTTTTTTTTTTTTATTTTAATGTACACTAAGACATTCTTAACAAGACAACTTATTTTGCTAAGTAATTATTTATTTAATATCATAAACAAATACGTATAAGATATAATTATTCAATGTAACCTTTAATATCCCTGTGTAGAATGCTATTTTTGTGCAAGTAATCCACACCTTCTAGAATTTGAATCGTAAAATGCCTCGTGAGGTTTTCAGGTAAACTTCCACTCTTTGTTATGAACGCAGCAAGTGTGCCCTAAAAAGTAGATAAACCCACACATTTTATATATATATATGCATTCTCTGTTATACAAAAGCCATGGAACTGCACAATTCTTTCGTGTTTTGTTTTTAGTAGGAATGTTGTCTCTTTTTTACAGATCTCCTAGCAAGAAGATGACATAATTTGTAATGTAGATAAAGTATGCTGTACAATAAACAATGTATTTTGTTCTTAATGTAATTAGGTACTATTTTACTTTACTGTATGCGAGTTAAAGGTCTGGCATAGTCCATGTGTTCGATTTACTCTAAAATAGATGGTTAAACCAAAAGATAATAGCGACATAGCATTCTTATTAACCATGGATTTTATAATTTATAATTTAAGGCTGAGGTCAAAATAAGTGATATTATTAGAAAAACGAATTGGTTTAAATTAAGCAGAATATGCAAAGAAATCAAACATAAATAATTAAAGGTAAGTAGTTTACATAACACTCTGTAGATAAACAATGTAATGTAGATTATTGTTGGGAGAATGTACAAGGGGTAAAAACTGTAACAGAAAAATATATATATGTGTGTGTGTGTGTGGGTGTATATAAGTCGTGCTTGTGTGTCAAGTGTCTATTATTCGTTAAAATATCCTCAGTATTACACCTTATTAAACTCACAATTGTTTCTGATGAAGCTGGTTCTATTTTCTTTGCTACAAACTTTTCTTCTGCTGGTCTATCCACGTTAACTACCTTATAGACTTTGCCAAAGGCGCCCTCGCCTATCTTTGTTGATTTTATTTCATAGTTTTTAGGAAACTCATCAGAAAGTATGGCATCTAATTTAAAATCGGGTGTAAAGAAACAAATATTACTATATTATATTTTATACATATATATATATATATATATATATATATATATATATATATATATATATATATATATATATGATCAATTTTGTAATATATTTAGTGCTTGTTAGTTTAATTAAAAATAATAATACTTAAAATTAGTTCATATTATTAGTAGTTTTAGCAAAAAGATTGTTATATTCTAATGTATAAGTTTTATTTTACATCTTTTACAGCTATAGTTTGATTTGATAAAATAAACGAATGAAATATTGCCTTGCCTTGTTTTGAAGGCAAAATACCCGTCACTCTACTAGTTCTCCAAAACACTGAGTGTGCAGTTTCTGAAATGTTCTTATTATCACTGAAAATCAACCGGCTTAAAATGTCATTAAAAGTTTCATCAGTTATGATTAGTTCACTAGCTTCCTTATTTTTACTTAAGCCTTTCAAACATTCAGTTGTGTATTCTTGTTCTCTTGGATCATCGTGACCAGGATGGCTTTAAGTCGTGGAATTAATGGAATGATCTGTAAAAGGAATATAAAATTACTAAAAAGCATGTTTCTATATTTTCGCTAAATGGTTATACACAAACAAGATACAAATTAATTGAAAGTTGTTTCTGAAGATAAATATGATTTGGTTTTTTAAAATGTACTGGTGCATTTTTAATTATGCGTTTAGAAAACAGTTCCATTTGAATTTTTTTTAATTCATAAATTCATGCATGCAACTAACTTAAACCCACATCTAAAGTATCTCGAATTAAATCATGCAGGTGAAATATAATAAACAGTTAAGCGACAAATGATCTTAAAACAAATGTTTAGTTTGCTTAAGATAAACACACACGTGTTATTAACCCATATTCTGCTAGCGTCCCACTTATGTGACGCTTGTAAAAAAAATTGCCAAAATTTACTAAAAACTAGTTAAAACACAAATTATGTTTCATTATATTTGAAAACGGTTAGACTATTGAATGTGTGTGTGTGTTTTGTGAAAAAAAATAATTTAGAAAAATGTTATAGTGCCGGATTTGCAGGACTTGTCAAAATGGCGGAAAAAAGAAAACATGCGCACAGGAAATTGCATATCTTCTAAAATATTAACATTTTAAGTGCAAAATACATTTGAAACTTGTAGCAGTACCATATTTCTATCTGATAAAAATTTAAGAATAAAAATGTTTTTTTACTACTTCGTTATATCAAGTGTACAACAAGCGTCCCATAAGTGGGACGCTAGCAACGAACGGCCCCATGTAGATTGTTAAACAAACGTCACATTTATTGGACACTAGCGAGAAACACAGATGCAAATGTTTATGTTAAAGGGTTATTTATGGTAAAACAATTGTTGACTTTGATAACTGCTGACTTTGGGGTGTTAAGTAGTATTTATAGATATTTAATTATGACCTTGACCTATATTTATGCAGATTGTTACACAAACGTCACATTTATTGGACACTAGTGAGAAACACAGATGCAAATATTTATGTTAAATGGTTATTTATGGTGAAACAATTGTTGACTTTGTTAATTGTTGACTTTGGGGTGTTAAGTAGTATTTATAGATATTTAATTATGACCTTGACTTATATATACTTATATATTATTGTATAAAAAATTGCAAATATTGAAAAACTTACATTTTATTTGTAAGTTTTCAGAATTACACTTACTGAAGTATTTAATACCATTGAATACAAACTAATTTAGTACTGCTGTAAATGTACTAGCGCGAGAAATTAAAATTATAACAAACCAGAATAATAACAATGGTCACGATTCAGGTGAAACGATTGAGTCATGGGGGTTGGTTAAAACTCTTCATATAAGTAAGAGAGCTCAAGCTACATATAGCAGAAATGTGAATTAGCTGTGTATAGTTGTCATGCTCCAGTAATCCCCCCCCCCCCAAAGGTTCCTTATACCAGTTTTACTTTGTTAACTTTTAAAGGAGATTCCTGGTGTTAGATTGGGAGCTGTTCGCATAGTGAGTTGCATACATGGATGAGAGCCATAAACACTCAATACAAGCCCCCATAGTCGGATCCTTGCCCTAAAATAAGATATCTGATGTCCTAATGTACACATGTGAGGGGGGGGGATAGCGAGGGTAACAAAAGAGAAGATGGCTGGATGACATCTGGGACGGGACCGTATCGTCTTTTGCAAATTCACTGAGGGCAGAGTTTCTTTCAGGCATCATTTCGGAGGAGGGGGGGGGCTCTGCCCCCAGAACAAATAGGAATTTATATGCAAAACATACTTTTACCAATGTCCACCCTTCCCCTGAAATTTAAGTACCCCCCACCTGAAAATTTCAAGTACGCCCCCAAAAAATCAATTATTTATATTTATATCTATTACAGTTTCGATGAATAATAACAATACTTGTGATCATGTGTGTATAATTAGATGTACTAGTCACAGCTTTACTTATTTCCAAGTGTTGTTTACTTTGATGGATGCTAGATTGAAAGAAAACTAGACTTTTGAACATAATTTCTGCATTTTAGACGATGGTATGGCTAACCCAATTGATCATTATCAGTATTTTTTGATGTCCTAAACAATTTAATCATTGGTCTAACAATACAAAATCAGAATACAGCTTAATTTTTGCGTGATTAGCCATATTTCGTGATAAATGATTTTATTTTTCAATAAATGTTCGTTGCTAGCGTCCCATTTATGGGACGTTTTTTTAAAAAAATCGATATTTAAAAAAGTATTGATTTAAAAAAAAAATCCATAGTCATTCCTTCATTCAGTGCCCAAAAGCTAAACCATATCAAAAAATTATAAAAATTTGAGACCTTGGGATAATATGGGTTAATATTAATAGTATACACATTTCTTTTACAATTTTAAAAAGTTTAAGCGATAACAGCGTCGCATTTTGAAAACAAATAATTTGTGTTTAAGTGACATAACAAAACAAATGCACTTTTAATTGATATAATATAGGCTATATATATATATATATATATATATATATATATATATATATATATATATATATATATATATATATATATATATATATATATATATTATAAGTATTCGAACGCAACTCTAAAAAACGTCATGATTGGAGCCATTTTACATAATCGTGATCATAGAAAAAAAACTGCCGATAATTAAAAAAGATATGATGGCGTTTTATTCTACATATTATATGAGCAAAACATGGTGTTTAAATATAATCAACATATTTTACTATTGCAAATTTAAGAAAAAAACATTTGGCGCACAAAAGTAACTATTTTAATATATATGCCGTCAATAGGAATTTATGAACTTACAGTCGTTGTTGATTAAAATCATACTCTTAAAATCTCGTTTACAAAAGGTTTTAATCAATTAATAAATTTCAAATAAGAATATGAATAGATGACTGAAATGTCCTCGTTAATGCACATTTGTTTAGAACAACATGCGGTATTAAAATAGAAGGCAACCCATTCTAACTCATAATTAAAACACAAATAATGCAAGACTTTAAAAAAATGAAAACCTCTTTCCATTCGTCGTCAGTCTCGGCAAAGCTTGACAATCCTTGAAGTAATGCATAAAGGTCAAAACGCTGGTGCTGTCTGGTTTCTGCCTCAGCAGCCTGAACTATTCCTTCAAGAAGAAATCTTTTTATTTCGCCTAGAGAAAATTTTTAATTTACCTGGAATGGTTAGTGAACTGTAGGCCATATTTAACAAGCACGCTTTGATGACGAATATACATAATGAATAAACAAAAAGTAATGGGTAAAGGTTATGGTAAAAACGTAAACTAGTAGGGCTAAACCTCTTTTTTCTCTTTGTGTATTGAAATTGCCAATTTGCAAAAGTAGAAGTTTAGCTGCCATCGATGTTGTTGAGTCATTAAAGTTTATATTAGAAATAACCTGTTGATTTCGAGTAGTTATATATATACGTTTAAAATGCATAATATTATATATTTTAATAATATAAATCACACCCTAAAATTCTTTGATAAGATATAAATCTGTACTTTAAATATTTTAAAATTTATTAGAAAATATATTTTTTTGCAGAGTATATTAAATATTACTCAAATATTGTGACAAATAATGTATTATACTTTTTTCTAATGAATTTACATAAATTTTAACTTACAGTTGCTGTCTCAATCCTTCTAAAGAAAGTTTTAAGTCCTTTCTTGATAGAGATATTAAATAAAATAGCTATAACACATTTTGTGACAAATAATGATTGCGCACTCTGAAAATAAAATATTCACATGCCTTTTTAAACAGAAATAACACGTTAATACATTTCTAAATTTCGTATTTTTTTAAAACAAACTAAAATATACTGCACCTGGTACGTATTTGTTTTCCTTTTAAAATAAATTTTGGAATTGACAAAAATATATCGTTTATTCATCGAGATAAGTATATATTATAAATGTCAGTAGATTTAAGCAATCCCTACTAGATAAAAACACTAGGTAAACGCTTGGTGAGAAGAATAGGATTATAACGTACGCTTACTTATTAATTCACTTTTTAGAGAAGAAAGTAGTGTTACCTGATCATCGTGATGCGTTTTAAGATAATCTGTTAGTACTTGTATTATATTACATTCAGCCAAGCGCTACAAGGGCACATAGAGTGGTAAAAATAAATTGTTAGACTTTTCATTACTAAAATGATAGTTCAATAAAATATTTAAAATAATACATATTGATTAATAAACATATCACTCTTTTTCAATCTCTCCTTCTCTCTCTCTCTCTCAGAGTTTCTTCCAGGCATCTCTTCTCTACCGCCCCCCCCCCCCCCGAACGAAATGAAATTTATATAATTTATATAGAAAATATATACTTTTAACAGTGTCCGCCCCCCCGAAGAAAGTCTACCGCCCCCCACGAAAATTTCAAGTGCTCCCCCGGAGAAAAATGTCTGGAAGAAACACTGCTCTCTCTACACCCACACACACAATAATTAATAATTACTATTTTCTATAAATCGCTCCAAATCATGCCTTTACATTATATATTTATAATACAAATATTCACCATTGCGAATTCTGCACACGTTAAGCAGCCATTCCAGCAGAGATTTAACATGTCACGAATTAATGACAAAGAAAACATTGATGATGAGGTGTTTATAATGTTCTCTGCTATAACATGTTGCATACATATGTCTGTGAAAAAATTCTACAAGTTAAAAAGCAATTTTTTTTTATAAAACAAGTTGTCACAGCCTATACAATTTATGTGTATTCATTTTACAATCTACAACAGAATGTGTGACTTATAAACTATTAAGTATTGTGTTGTTATTGGATATTTTTAGAAACTATTATTGACTAAAAGTATATGATTTAATTTAAATCATGCAACATTATACATATTACAATGAACCTTTTACAGTAGTTTTGTGTAACAATTTAATTGACGGGAGACGACATGAAGACTAATCAAGCTAAACTAGATTCTTACAGAAAAAATATTAAAGTTACTCAATTAAAGATATTAAAAATATATTACACGTTTAGATGATAATGTTTGCATTGATCAAGTGTGTACTATTTTATGAAAAACCACAAAATATATATAGATAAGCCATAGTTAAAGAATTTAAAGTTCAAGAAAGCAACAGTAAAATTCAAACAATTGACAATTATCAAAAGATAATCGACAGTAGATTACTCATAGTTGTACAATAAACCTCATAACTAAACATTCTGTTTTCGTTTAATAAATAAAACAATATTTTATTTATTTACCTGGATATCGATATTTAATTAGTGATAAAAAGAAATCAACATCTTGGTTGGTTTGCTTCATCGCCTTATAAATAATGTTTAAACTTTTATGATAGATGAGAAAATTCAATGTGTCGAATTGTTTCATCTGAGAGAATTCCGACATAGTGGCCACTATACATTCACTTAGAAGGCCTTGTGCCAGAATCTATCAAACATAAGAATATAGCATTCATTTTACGAACAAAAAAAAGATTAGCTGTATGAAAAATCAATTAGAGTATATATATATATATATATATATATATATATATATATATATATATATATATATATATGTATATATATATATATATATATACATATATATATATATATATATATATATATATATATATATATATATATATATATATATATATGTGTGTGTGTGTGTGTGTCTGTGTGTCTGTGTCTGTGTGTCTGTGTGAGAGAGAGATAGAGAGAGAGAGAGAGTTTGTCTCCTCTGGTAAGCGTGGCTTAATTTGGTTATCGTGGTCATAGTCAACATATTTTGACTGACGAAATATGTTCTTAAGGATGTGACCTTTTTCTTTCGTCGTCCTCAGATACTGGTTACTGCTTGTATAACTTATTACATATATTAAGAAAAAAAAATGAACAAACAAACGGGTCATAACACCAATGTATATGCATTTATCGCAGACAAGTAAATAGATGACCAATAAAACATTGATTAAAACAAAATGCTATATGCACTCGAACATAGCTATTGAAATCATGAACAAGACATATTGGAAATACGTTTTTACCTGTTTCTTGAGAACCGAAATTGAAATTACTGCATACGATCTGAGCGATCTTGATTATTAAAATATGAAATAAAGTTATATTTAAAATATAATACTTATATCCATGTATATATAAATATATATATATATATATATATATATATATATATATATATATATTTATATATATATATATATATATATATATATATATATATATATATATGTTTATATACATATATGAGAACATGAAACAAATGTACATTAAAATAAACAGTCAAGTAAACTTAAAAAAGAGAACACCCTTTTTTAGTATACATATTTTTATTGTACAAATGTAATGACTGAAAAAACTCAAATTATACATGTACATAAACTGATCAGTTACTTACTTTTGAAACTCTTGAAATTCTTCATTTGGTGTTCCGCTATACACAGAGGCAGTTGATTCAATATTGTTGATGTTTAATTCTTTTTGATCTAATTCTGATTTTTGAATTTAAAAAACTCATGGAGCTAAATTAAATAATATCCATCAAAATATAACAACTGTTATATAGGCCTATATATTAAATAATAATTGGGGTGCGGACTGCACCGGGTGACACCATTTGGGGGGGGGGGGCGATACCAAGACAAAAAAGAGCAAAATATATAGAGAAATGTATACAGAAAAATGTAAATTTCACATAATTAAATGATTAATCAGAGTGAATTAAATAGTTTTTTTAAGAACAAAGTGGACAAATCCGCACACGGGTGGTGTGGGGGGGGGGGGGGCTACACCATGATGTAAACCTGCTAATGATAGAGAAAACATGTAACATCCAGCTGTATTTATAACCGAGCATATATACAAATAATGGGTCTAGCAGTAGAGAGCTGGACTGCTAACCCGTAAGTCTCGAGTTCGAATCCGGGTTCAAATCAGTAGACCGTCCCTGAGTCCACCCAACTCTGATGGGTACCTAACTCATGTTAGGGATAGTAAAGGTGGCTGGGCATAGTGCTGACCACACTATCTCTTCATAAGCCGAGGTCACAGAAACAAGCGAACTCTACTTCACTTGCCCCATAGACAGGTTTGAAAGGGAAACTTTAGTTTTTTATAAATACAAAGCATTAGTATTATCTGAGCACTCGCAATAACCTATTTGTTAACCTATATGTTAACTTATATGTTAATCCATCTATGGGGTGAGGGGGTGGGGAAGTGAAATACATCCAGAAGAAAAAAAAAGTATTTATATATATATATATATATATATATATATATATATATATATATATATATATATATATATATATATACATTCTTAAGGTGGGGGGGGGACCATAAGGTTAGGTGCAGCACCGGGTGACACCCGACCTCGCTACGCCACTGCATGCAGTGACAAAAGCGCATGCACAGATACAAGTGCAGAAACAAACTTAAAAACGAATAACACACTCGTTATCAAAACTTTAAAAAAATGCATATTACGAAAACCAAAATTTTGTTTGTTTGTAAAATATTAACAAATTCACTTACTTTGTTTTAAAAAGCGAAAATTAAAATATATTTTTTGTTTTAAAGTTGAATCCAAGCAGCTGGTATCTGCAAAGTCTAATATAGCTTTTATAATTTCTGCGTGCCCTCCTTCAAAAGCATGACACATTAAATCAGTTAAATAAATCATAACCTTTCTTTGAAACCCATGATTTCCTATGTTTAGTTCAGAATTTTTGTCTGATAGAAAATTTGTTTGTATGGTAATAATTTCTGATAACTTTTTTAGAATAATCTTTAGAGTGTTTAAATGTCCTTGTAGGCATGCAAGAATTAAAGCGTCGCATCCTGATGTATTCATTACATTAATGTCCGCTCCGTTTTGTATTAAAAGCGTTGTCATTGTTTCATGTCCATTTCGAGATGCAAGCATTAAAGCATTACATTTACTTTCATTGTTGCGATTAATATTGGCTCCTTTTTTAATAAGTAACTCTGCAATTTTGGTATGCCCTTTTCGACTTGCGATCATTAAAGTATCCCATCCATATTTATTTTCACGATTGACATCCGCTCCGTTGTTTATAAGTAACTCTGCACATTTTAGAAGTCCATTTTGAGCTGCAAACATTAAGTTGTCGCATCCGTCTTCCTGAGATGGATTAAACTTGACATTGCTGTTTATCAATAATTCTAGCGATCTATCACGATCATTTTCATAATCGAAAAATAACGCTTCTCGTTTTTTTGTAGACATGTGATTAATTAGTAAAGTAACTACTTTATCGTGTCCTCTATCAGCGGCCAATACTAAGGCATTCAAACCATTTTTGCCTATACGATGAATAATTGCTCTGCGTTTTATAAGCAGTTCTACTGTTTTTTCATGCCCATTACAAGAAGCATGCATTAATGCATCGTACCCCATATTATCTATACGATAAATGTCAGCTCTATTTTTGATTATTAATTCTGCAATTAAGTCATGCCCTTTTTCAGAAGCTAACATTAGTGCATCGCGCCCTAGAATATCAATACAATTAATATCTGATCCATGTTTCAAAAGTAATTCCGCAGTTTTTAGGTGTCCATTATGAGAAGCGATCATGAATGCATTACATAATTTAGTATCAACTAGCGAAATATTAGCTCCACGAGATATGAGTATGTCTGCGATGTTGTAATGTCCATTTTGTGAAGCGAACTTTAATGCATCCCACAAATCAGAATCGACTCGATTTATATCAGCTCCCTTATTTATAAGTAACTCTACAACTTTAAAATGTCCATTTTTAGATGCAATCATTAGGGCATTTCTTCCTTCTTTCTGAATACGATTCATATCTACACCGTTTTCAACAAGCAGTTTAGCTGTGATATAATGGCCATTTTGAGCGGCAATCATTAAAGCATCCCTTCCGCATTCATCAATGCGGTTTATAATTAGTCCACGTTTTATCAAGAAATCAGCAATTTTGTCATGTCCTTTTTCTGAGGCCAACATCAAAGCATCGTAACCAATGATATCAATGCGAGTAATATCTGATCCGTTAGCTACAAGCAACTCTGCAGTTTTAATGTGCCCATGTTTAGTCGCGAGCATGAATGCGTTCATCAGTTCAAAATCTACACGATTGATATCAGCTCCACTATTTATAAGTAACTCTGCAACTGTAGAATGTCCATTTTTAGATGCTATCATTAAAGCATCCTTCCCTTCTGTCTGAATACGATTTATATCGCCACTGCTTTTTATAAGAATGTTAACTGTATTGTAATGCCCGTTTTCAGATGCAAGCATTAATGAATCATATCCATATTCATCAACGCGCTTTATACACGCTCCAAATTGTAGTAGTAAATTTGAAGTCTTAGAATGTCCTTTTATCGAAGCTAACATTAGAGCATCACGCCCGAGTATATCGCTACAATTTATATCTGATCCGTGTTTTAAAAGTAATTCAGTCGTTTTTAAGTGTCCATTATGAGAAGCAATCATTAACGCATTACGTAATTTGGTATCAACTAGCGAAATATTAGCTCCACGAGATATGAGTATGTCTGCGATGTTATAATGTCCATTTTGTGAAGCGAACTTTAATGCATCCCACAAATCAGAATCGACTTTATTTATATCAGCTCCATTATCTGTAAGTAACTCTGCAACTTTAAAATGTCCATTTTTAGATGCAATCATTAGGGCATTTCTTCCTTCTTTCTGAGTACGATTAATATCTATACCGTTTTCAACAAGATATTTAGCTATAATCTCATGTCCGTTAGTCGAAGCAAGCATTAAAGCATCACATCCATTCGTATTAACACGATTAATATCTGCTCCGCTTTTGAAAAGTAATTGTAAGATATTAATGTGTCCATTTTGAGAAGCAAGCATTAAGGCATCAAAACCTTCAGTGTTGACATGATTTATGTCGGAGCCATTTTTAAGAAGTAAATTAACAGCTTGCAGACATCCTGATCTTGAAGCAATCAAAAGTGCATTGAAATCTACATTATATTTAGTTTTTTCTTTGCAAGACATTTTAATTTGTTATTTTTAAAAATTCATAATCATTTATATAATCCAATAGATACCATGTTTTATCGTTGTTTTTCTTGATACAATAATACATGATTGTTTTTCAAGTTCATATTCATTTTTCAAACAGCAGTAAAATCTGAAATAATATGGTATTAATTATTACATTTACTGTCAACGTATATTAATATATAGTATCTGCTTAAATTCCGTTATAAAACTATGAAATTTACACAATTATGTTGCAACAATAACTTTGTTACATACTTCTACAAGTAAATTATCTTACGTAACACCCGGATTTTTTCGTGATTGGTTTCTGGACTGATGAACTAAATGAACACCATAAAAGACTACTAGAAACAACAACTCTTTATAAAATCGCTATCTTACGTCTAGGTTAAAATTATAAATACAAAGCATTCATGAATCTAACAGAACTTTTAATCAGAACCAAAACCTTCTAAAATGTATCAAGTTTTAATAATAAAATACAATGCAGAAACTGTATAATAATGTAAAACCCAACTTACAATTTCATGAATAACACAATCACCTCTTACTACAACTAAGATTTGATAAAGAACTAATCAACACAACCTACACTAGGAAAACAAGATACAAAATACTATTGAACATTAAGGTAATTACTGCCTAGTTTAAATATCACAACATGATGCAATGGGCTCTCTCTTTGTGGGTGTCTCGCGCCTTGTATTCTGAAATGTTCGTATTTATATTTTTATCACCAAAGGATTATGGAATATCGATAGTAAGGTCAAGGATTATTGAGAGGTTGGGGGAGGGGTTCACGTGCACAGTTGTGAAAATCCTCACATGAGTCTGGTGGAAAATTACGTCGTTTAATAAAAGAAATCTCAATGCCATTTAAGCATTAATAAATTTAAACTATTAAAAAGAAGAACTTCTTCAAGTAGTACATTCAAATAGTGATTTTTTATGAATCTACTGGTTTTCATAATTACATAAGTTTTTGTTATAAGGATATTGTAAACAAACATATTTTTACGATTATGTATATAACCTCATATAGTTTAATTCAAAAACAAAAGTATACCACTAACATTCAAAATGTTTTAGGGAGTGTAAGATTACTATCTCTCCTCTTAAATTCTTTTATAACCAGAACTATAAATCTACAGCTAAGTACAGTGTTAAACATAATCGCTACTAGTTTTCTGCCCTATGAATGTGGAATGTAAACTACTTTTGTTACAATCTTATTATCCTATTACTAAAAACCGGGTGGATGATTTATTAGTTTTTTGTGTTTCATTGTCACATTACTTTCAAGCGTATTAATGCTGGTACAATTTAGATAAATATACTAGTTTTATAAACAATCGCCACAATTCGAACTATCTAAGAGCTTGTTTGTATAATTTATCACGTGGTCTTTTTTGTTTGAACTATTTTATTCGCTTTACCGATTCCATTCCCTGTGTTACATGGTCATCAGCAAATTTATTGATAAAAGGCACAATAAAGTTCAGATTTGTAATGACTTTTTTTTCTTAGCTGTTTTTATTTAGCAACCGATCTGACTTATTGATTGCTATATTTTTAACATTTTAGACACAAGTGCTTGACTAAAACATTTTTTGTTTTAAAATGTGTTCACTGCAACGTTATGGAGATCAGATTATATATATATATATATATATATATATATATATATATATATATATATATATATATATATATATATATATATATATATATATATATAATGCAATGTATGTGTGTCTGTGTGTCTGTGTGTCTGAGTGTCTGTGTGTCTTTTATGCATTACCACACATCTTATCACATCGCCGTGAAACTTTGGGAAGTTGTTGAGAATATTCTTGGGGAGGTTTCTGCGAAAAAAAATATTTCAAATTCGCAGGGGTGGCGCCCCGGCAGGGCGCTATTTGTTTTTCTATATATACGGTATATAAAAATAAAAGTCTATTTTGATTTCACACTGTTCATCCAATAGGCATGAAACTTTGGGGAGTTGATTAGAACACTTTAGGAAAGGGTTCTGTATAAAAATCATTTTTAATTTCGCAAGGGCGGCGCCACGGGATGGTGCAATTTTTCTCTATATACGGTAAATAAAATAATAAAAATGAATTGCTGTGACACCGTTCACATGATCGCCATGAAACTTTAGGAAGTTGTTGAGAATATTCCTGGGAAGGTTTCTGCGAAAAAAAATTATTTCAAATTCGCAGGGGTGGCGCCCCGACACGGCGCGATTTGTTTTTTTCTATAAACGGTATATAAAAATAAAAGTCGGATTCGGTTTGACATCGTTCATCCGATAGCCATGAGTCTTTGGGGAGTTCATTATACCACTCTAGGGAAGGGTTCTGTAAAAAATAATTTTTAATTTCGCAAGGGCGGCGCGACGGGAGGGTCCGATTTTTCTCTATTTATGGTATATAAAAATGGTAAAAGTGAATTGCAGTGACACCGTTTATCCGATAGGCATGAAACTTTGGGGAGTTCATTATAAAACTCTAGGGAAGGGTTCTGTAAAAAATCATTTTTAATTTCTCCCGAGAATATTTTTGCGAAAAAGAAAACTAAAGTTTTTTACGGGCGGCGCCAAATAGGGTACAACTTTCGTCAATACACGGTTTGGCGCCCAGAGATTTAGAGCGACTAAGTTGGCACTTGGCATCCGTTAATCGAGCGTCCTGCATAGCGAGTAAGGGGTACTACTATATTCAGCGGTAAAACTACAACAGTCTTCTAAAAATAACTTTGTAACGCGAGGAAATCCTACTGTACAGTTTCGTCACCTTGCGAAAGATGAAAAAATAACTTTTTGAATATGAGGAGCCTACTGTAGAGTTTCGTCACTTTGCGAATGATGCAATAAGCATCTATAATTTATTATTAGACAATCCAGTCAGAAATTGAGATCGAGCATCTAATAATAGACCATTAGTATGCATATTGCATCAGTCACACTGATATTTAAAACACGTCAAATAAATTTTGTACGTGTTAAAGAAAAAAATCCTGTTCATTTGTGTCACTTTAGCATTATAAACATGATGCTATTTGGCACGATGGCTCCTGTTAGTTTTAAGGAGCCAGGGGCCGTACGTGGCGCCTATGCGATAGTGTAACTGAGGGGAGGTGCTCCTGAGAGCGCCCCTCTACGTCCCTGACACATGGGTGGTAACCGAAGTGTGTTCTACCTGATTATTTCGGTGAGTGATTAATGTACACATAAGGTTTTCACGCGGTAGTGTATATAAACCCGTGTCCCGGTATTTATAATCCAAGCGCAGGTAGTGTTTACATTTAAATAACTCACTTTTAGAAAACAAGGTTACGCGTCTAAGAATATAGGATTGGTAACTTGGTAATGTATGGATGAAACCCTCCTTCTATCCTCGCGGCAACGCGCGGGCACTGGTACGCTAGTATATATATTTATATATATATATATATATATATATATATATATATATATATATATATATATATATATATATATATTTAAAAAAATATATATATATTTTTATCGACTAAAAACCTCATTCACGTACACCAATGTCTTAACATAAAGAATTAGACGTGATCAAAATTTTAAAAAATGTTATTTCAACAGCCTCTACAAGTGTGCTCAGTTATAATCAAGAAACGTTACGCTACTTACATTTTGGCCTTTCACGATTCAAATAACCGGTTTCAGAATAACACACTAGTAGCACCATATCCTGGTTGTATACAGCCTTGCCATATTTACATTCAGACTTTGTCCCACTTTCGAAACTATTAGAACACTTACAAAGAGTTGAATAGGCACGTTTCTTTAAAGTCTCCCGTGTGCTCTAAAGTAAAAAAAAATATATACTGTGGTGAATAGGGCATGAAAAATGCATTCAGTAATTTAGGTTTTTATTTGTTTTTAATTTTAAAATTTAGTGTTGGATTACTCTTGACTTAGTATGTATTATGGCTCGTTGTGCCAGGTGTACCTAGAATAGAACACAATCAGCGATGATAATATATTTCATTCACGTGTAATTTTTGTATTAAAAGAAATTACATGAAATTACACTGTTTCTAATACACAAGATTCCACATCGTCCTTAGTGTTTAAATAATTGCACTCTCTAGCACACCACATCCAAGAGGAGGCCACTCTCACAAACTCACTCTTAATGCCGACACATATCGTTTCAGACGACCACGTCAAAGATGACTATAATATTTGATATTGATAGTAAATTAGACGTTGTTATAATAGCTTGCTTTATTACTAAACTTATTTTAGTATTTGATATTAGATAAATATAAATATGATCAATTCTATTTTAAAGATCATAAAAAGAAAGAAAAACAATTTTGAATCGTAGAAATATTTAACACGATGGTTGACTGGTATTTAAGCTTATATGTGATTTTTTAAACTGTTACACAGAATCTTCTATTCACGAGTTTCTACGTATGTTAAAATAATAAAAATTTAACCAAGGTTAGAGTAAGTCAGAGTTTCTTCCAGGCATTCTACCCCCCCCCCCCTTTCCCCCGAAATAAATGGAATTGATATAGAGAATTTATACTTTTAACAGTGTCCGCCCCCCCTTCCCCCTGGAAATTTTAGTCCGCCCTCAAAGATTTTTAGTGCCCCCCAGGAGTAAAAAGTCTGGAAGAAACACTGAGTCCATTTATTCTTAAGAGTTTAAATAATTCGAAGATTTTTTGTCGTAGAAAATTATCGATTTATCATCTACATCATCTATATCATCTAGATCATCTACACCATCTATATCATCTACATTATCCACATCATCTACATCATCTACATCATCTATATCATTCACTACATCTATACCACCTACATCATCTACATCATCTACATCATCCTCAAATGCATCCACATTCAAATCTATCTCATATCAAAACATCTATAGATTATATATCTATATCTATATCTATATCTATATCTATATCTATATCTATATCTATATCTATATCTATATCTATATCTATATCTATATCTATATCTATATCTATATCTATATCTATATCTATATCTATATCTATATCTATATCTATATCTATATCTATATCTATATCTATATCTATATCTATATCTATATCTATATCTATATCTATATCTATATCTATATCTATATCTATATCTATATCTATATCTATATCTATATCTATATCTATATCTATATCTATATCTATATCTATATCTATATCTATATC